TCTTCAAAGCCTCCCGCACATGGCTAAGTTCTTGATCGCTAAGTCTTGAGTTAGATGGGACTGTTTCTGAACGATGAAGGCAACGATCTTACAACTGAGCTTTTGTGTTGAGTAGGGTGATGAGAGTGGTAGTCAAGAAAGTTTTGTCTGTCACATGGTTTACCCTATACGGATGTCTCCATCTTAAAGAAAGATTCACTAGTTCTATGAACACGTACATATAAAAACGGCAAGGTACTATCGGTTTCATATTCGCAGGTGAACTGAATTGAGGGGTGGACACTATTCAAATTGCGGTGAAAATCGGTTACGTTCTCTCTGTTAACTATTACAAAAGTGTCATCGACATAGCGACGGTAGAACTTCACGGGGAAATCAGTGCCAGACATTACCTTTTCCTCAACATATTCCATGACGAGATTCGAGACGGTTACGGAAACTGGACTCCCCATGGGGCATCCGCTGACCTGATGATATATGTCCCCATTAAAACTAAAATTACACTGGTTGAGACAAAAACGCAAAAGGAGTTTAACGTCATCAACAAGCAGGGTTGTGCGAGTGGAGAACGACTGGTCTGCCAACAACCGGTCACAGGCGACATCAACCGCCAGGGCGTTGGGGACATTCGTAAATAATGAAATCACATCAAAGGATACCATAGCCTCGTGCGGTAGCAGGGTCTGAGCGCGTATAAGTTCAACAAAGTCACGGGAATTCCGGACGCTAAACTCATTGTTTCCCTTAAGAGGGCTCAGAATCATGACCAGATATTTGGAAAGGCTGTAAGTGGATGAACCAATAACATATACAATCGGGCGTAGGGGCAACCCGGTTTGTGCATTTTGGGGAGTCCATACATCTTGGGTGTCGCGGCGTCAAAGGAGAAGAGACGACGGTATAGGTCGTCACTGATGCGTCCTTTCTTTTTCAGCTCTCAAAGGTGGTCAACTAACTCTCTTTCGGACTTAGCAGCGGGATCTCTTGATAGCCTCACGAGATAGCGACTGTCATTTATAACTTCATACATCTTCTTCGTGTAGTCATCCCTATCAAGCACAACGGTTCCTTTTCCTTTGTCGGCCTTTAAAATCATGATGGAGCTGTCTGACTTCAACTCATTAAGAGCAATGCGTTCTTGTTGATTTAAATTTGACCCGGCTGGTTTCGCATTGTTCAAAACACTGACAACGCGGCTTCTCGCGAGATTTACCCCTGTGACATCGTGCACATGTCTGAGTTTCTCTTCAATTCCAATTATGAAGTCACGTTTTGGAACGTACCGTGGAGCAAGGGCATAGTCCAGTCCTTTAGATAGCAGAAATTGCAAGCCAGGGTTGGTAATAGTAACATAAGGTACGTACGGCAGAATTCCCTGCCATAAATAAAACGATTTGGCTAACGCCAATGTAACGCGAAATAGGTGCAAAGAGTTTTGCGATAGGAAGCATAAACCGAAAAAAAGGAAAAAAAAAAGAAAGAAAGACTGAAGGAAAGGAGAAATAAGCAAAAATCTCTGGTGACGTGGCCAAGAAAAAAAAATCTTGTCCATGTGATTTTCTTGTCAAGTGACAAAAAAAAACGAATTAAAAAAAAGAACACGAGAAAAAAAAACCATCCCCTGCCGGGTTTCGAAGCTAGGCCCTTTTGATCGTGAAACTAGCGCGCTGTCCGTTGCGCCAACATAACTTTTTTTTTCTTTCTTTATTGCAAGTTGCGCCAACATAACTCTGCCTGTCATGCTCACGCATTCTCCCATCATAGGAGAAAGCTTAGTTGCCTTCGTAGTTTTTCATGCATGTTTTATTTTTATTTGTGGCAAGAGTTCACGTCCAGAATGCTTTTAGAGTTTCCGAGCAAAACGAATTTTCTTCATCCGAGTCACCTTCTAGAACCAGTAGACCGCACTAGGGTGCCTTCATGTTTCCGCCGCTCCGCTGTTGCGGAAACATGTAGGCACCCTAGACCGCACTGGGTCGTCCGGCTAATGAAGCAGCTTTTTTCAAATTCTCTAACGCGCCCGTCCTGGGATCCGAGGTCGCCGTTTGACAAGCTTAACTTTCTTCCACCTTTTAGCCGGAACCCCCACGGCAGCTTTGTTTGTCCCCACTCCCTCTCGAGAGGATGGCTCGCCTCGAAGCTAATCCCATTCTCTAGACGCTCTTTCCACCCAACGATGGCCCTTTCCCTCCCCGTCCCCCAGCTTCGGGAGAGAAGGTTCTTCTCTGTAGAACGTCCCGTTTGTACAGCGGCCTTTAAAGTTCAGATTGTCCTGTCTGTATCGTCCCTTTTGTGTCTCCACTTTTGAATGTTTAAAAAGTATCAACACGTTAAAATAGTACAATTTCCGGGATTTTATTTTCATTCCCCAAGTGTGATGCGGGAGCTGCGCCACGGAGCCCCGGTCGTTTCTGCTCTTTGTTATCGCTAGGATTTGACAGTGCTCAATCACAATGCAAGACACGCACAGAGCCACGCTCGCAATTGCAATGCGCCGCCTAATAATGATATCTCTTGTGGAAACATGCGTACATCCGTCTTGCGCAGTGTTAGCTCAATGGCAGCACTTTCTGTAAAGGCGGATTCACACCGGGGATGTAAGCAGTCGCGCGATCCAACTAAATCGCATCGCAAAAAAAATAAAAAATAAATAAATAAAAGTAATTAGTTGGTCAATTTGGCGTGCGCGATGAGCGAGTCCAACGCCTTCGTTGGCGCGTCGCTTCTCAAAAACTCTCGCTCCGAACGCCGTTGGTTGGCTCGGCCTCTCCGCGGCTAGAGTGCATCGTAAAAAGTCGGGTCAGCAAGCGACTGCTCAAAACCCGTCACTTTTTGTCCGCGATGGTCGCTTTTGCGATTAAAGTTATGGCGCGACTAGATCGCATCGCCGGTGTGAACGCGCCATATTGTCGAACCAGTCTCACGGCGCGCCCCGATATTGGCTTGTGTACCTACGCGCGAGTGCAACATCTGGCACAATTTGTGTTTGCAAAGCCTGCTCCAGCCGCGTCAAAACATTCAGCCAAGCTTTGGACTGCAGAAATGAAGAGACACCCAAAATAAGATAAAGTTACCAGCCGAATAAAACTGGATTTCTATTTAATTGAGATGAAGACCACCCGCGTACATCAAATACCTCATCAGCCGAACTCCAAGGCAGTAAGCCTAGTTCTGGCACTTGTTTGGCAACTTTGGCCCGCAGCTGCCAGATCACAGCCAAACTATCGAAAAGCGAAGCCTAACTTGGGCGCTCGTTTGGCGACTTGGGCCCAAAGATGCCAGATCTCAACCGAACTACAAGGTAGTAAGCCTAACTCTGGCACATTTGTGCGATTTTGGCCCGAATGTGCCAGGTGACAGCCGAACTGTCAAAAAGTGAAGCCTAACTTTGGCATTAGTTTGGCGATTTTGGCCCGAAATTGCCAAAGCTCTGCCGAACTACAAGGTAGTAAGCCTAACTCTGGCACATCTGTGGCGATTTTGGCCCGACTGTGCCAGGTGACAGCCGAACTATCAAAAAGTGAAGCCTAACTTTTGCGTTAGTTTGGCGATTTTGGCCCAAAAATGCCAAAGATCTGCCGAACTACCGGGCAGTAAGCCTAAATCTGGCATTTTTTAGGCGATTTAGGCCCGAAGACGCCAGACGACAGCCGAACTACCCGGCAGCGAAGCCTAAGTTTGGCGCTTGTTTGGCGAATTAGGGCCAAGATAGCCAGACTGTTGCCAAGGGAGGTCAGGTTTGGCAATACTTTGGCTTCTTCGGGCTTTTTAATGCCCTAAACTGCCAGAGCAAGCCAAGTTTTGGCCCAGAACTCGGTGCTGCGTGGGATTATTCTGTAATTTTCTTGGTTTAAGCGATTACTGGATAAAATAAATCATGGAAGTAGATAGTGTTTATTTTACTCTATCGTGACATGTTTCGAGTAAAATAACATTCTGCACTGTGTTGTCAAAAATCAATTTATCTTTTGTGCCCCATTTCCTTCTGCCAAATCGACGCTCGTCATTTGCTTTAACTCTTTCCATTCCGCTTTTCAATGAAATATGGTGGCTTGAGCCTAATATATCAACAGGCTTGTCACCTCTTTTGTCAATAAAAAAAATATATATATAATATTTTATTTTCGTACAACCAAGATCTACCAAAATGCGTTAACTTCAGCTCTCTATGGGCACCTCGCCGAGCAACAATAAACACCCTGCACCACACCTTTTTTACTTGATGGGATTGTCTACAGGCAGGAGAGACAAGTGCAAGTACAAATACACGTCAAATACATTGATAGCATGTCTACAAACACCGCACAAAATATGCCCACCGCACAGAATATTTTATGCCCACCGCAGTTTATGCAGTGGGCATAAAATAGTACCACAGTTTTAGATACGAGTGCACGACATTTAAAAGGAACTCGAACACTTTCTTCTCATGGCATCAATGTTTTATTCATCTAGAAGCAACACCGCGTCAATTAAAAACAACAAAAGGTGCCAACATCAGTTTCAGCAAGGGGTTATTAAAAAAATATTGTAGCGCTTAAATTATGATTTAAATTAAACTGGAACGCAACGAATAAAAGTCGCCTGGACCGAAAAAATTCGTCTGGTCTAAAAAAGTACGCCTGTGTAGACGTTTGATAGACTCCTGTTTCATGAATTACCCAAATGACTGTATTCGCAGTTTTGTTCGCTCAAAGCTGTCTACATATTGCCGCGTGTACGCCCGAAAAGAAATGCTTCTCCGCGCATCTAGAATTTTTTTTGTGTATGCATACTGCGAGTGTAAAAGATAAGTAAGTCTTTCCCTAGCGAACTATCGAACAATCGGGGTCGAATATTCAAGATGACGAGTGATAATATTAAGAAGCCGAGTGTGGTATTGACGATTTCTTAACTAATTTACACTCGCAACAGCCAGCTGTCACGTCGACGCACCTTCGCTCGTTGCTGCCTTATTTACGTGTGTTCTTTCATTTTGTCTCTAGCACACGTTTGCCGATTAAACCATAATTGTAAGTTTATGATACATCGTTTTCTTGCCTTCATTTGTCACAATATATGCGGGCAGCGGCTGGCTGAAAGGCGCAGTCCAGCGGGGTTCGTATGGTAAGCTATAGCGACAACTCGCCTGTCGTTTCAATGTAAGCAACTGCCTGCTTTATTGTTTCTTTCTTTTTCTCCTCGCTAGACAGCTGCAGTTCGAGATTCCTTTTGTTGGATGCAAGATCGGGGGTTGGACTTCTAATGAGCAGCTTGGTAGGTCTCGTTTGTTACAATATTTTTGCCTAAACTTGAGTTAGGATGATTATTCTCTACTAAGGATGTCATCTTTTTTTGGATAGCTTGTGGGCGCCCTGGCGGCTCCCCAGCCCAGTAGCCCGACTGCGAGGCAAAGGTGCCGAACTTTTCCCGCGTGGCGGTGACGTCACGCCAGCCACGTGTACGTCGCGTGCGCCGCCTTGATAAGGCGCATCAGAAGCGGCGCGCAGGAAGTCGCTGCCTGGACTCAGGCGCCGCAGGTAAGCATGTTAATCGTCTCGTCCATGTCCCATTAAATGTAGTTTCTCGTTGTTGAAACCGTCGGCTCCGTGTTATTCCTCCGGGTCGGGTATGCATCAGGGCAAACCGACCACAATGGCGCCCAACCGGGGTATGCTACCCACTCGCAGGAATTTCACGGGGCTTGGTTTCTTCTTTCGGTAAGCTTTTTTCTCATACCCCGTGTTTCCTACCGTCGTTCCGTGCTTCGGTCAAGTCCGCGTTTGTTGTATTGGCGTGTTTCTGACTGTGTTTTTGTGACCACGGCAATCGTTTTGCGCACTTGTGTTGGGTTTTTGGGTGCGTTTCTTTTTTTTGTGCTTGCAGGAATGCTCACGCGGGAGCAGGAAGCCGCGATGGCCGCAGCGGCACAAATGAACCTGCTTACGAAGCTCACGGAGGTGTGCGACTCCATGATACAGCGCCTGGCCCACAGGCCGGGCCAGCAGGAGGCCCCACCGCGAGAGCCCCGACCACACTTGACTGTTCCGGTCTACATTTGGTACGACGACGTCAAGTCCGTGGCAGACTTCCTGGGCGAGATGCAGACGTACCACCTTGCCTCCGGTGCCTCGGAAGCCTCCATCGTGGAGCGGATTGTCCCGCTGGCGTTGCAAGCCAGCACCAAGTGCTGGTTGGGGTCATAGGTCCCCTTCACCAGCCTGGCGGACTTCCAGACAAGGCTTCGAGAAGAGTTCCTGTCTGCAGGCTACGCGACGCAGATTCTCCGAGAGCTCGAGGCAAGGACGCAGCACCCAAATGAAAGTCTGGTCCAGTACGTTCGAATCATGCAAGAGCTCTTCAAGACGGCGGACCCGAAGTCCCGGGAGTCGGAGAGACTATAGCTCGGGTCACAAGACAGTGTCACCCAAGGTACCACGTCTACCTGATCAACCGCACCTTTGAGACCCTTCAAGAGCTAGCCCGGGGCGCCCGCCTCATCGAGGAAGCTCTTCATGCCGAGCGGAACTACGTGCCGCCGCCGCCACCCAAGTACGTGCTCGAACCGGCATGCGCATGGCGGGGCCCCGAGGCCTCCACGCAAGTGGACTATCCGAACGAGACCTCCCTTCCCCACCACGTCAACCAGGAGAGTTGGCTTGGCATGCATGGCAATCTCCGTGCGGGATAAGCGTATGTTCGCCTAACTCTCCCTGAGAGGTCCTCGGAGGTCACTGCGAGACCGGTGAGGGTTTCGCGCGGGGGTCGCCACGACAGGTGGGAGGTCGTGTGCCGTGCCCTATCATAAGCTGGGGCCCAACAGAGATCACCACCCGAGCGAACCATCTTCATCACTCTGCTCCTGCAAGTGCTGGCGAAAACTTCCACGGGGCGGTCTCGAACCTGCAGCCCAGCAGCATTGACCCCCTCTGAAACGGAACAAGCCCTCCCCACAACAGCCAGTCTCAAGCCTGGTGGAGGCCCTCCCATAGTGGTTCCTTACCCGATCACTGGAGGCGTTCCGACGGGCACCTCGGTGCGGGTGACCTAAACAGGCAACTGTCGTCGGACTGCTGCTACCACTGCGAGCAGCCCGGCCATCACCGAAACCAGTGTCGAAGACTTCTGGACACTACAAACAAGAGCTGGCACGAGATGGCGGCAAAGGGCCGGAACCAAAACAACCAGGGAAACTACTACGGCCGACGACGCTCAAACCAGACAGCCGGTCGCCGACGGCCGTTGCAGTCCCTGGGAGCGGTCAGACCGCGGCACAGATTCCATCGGTATGTCGAGTCCAGCCCGAGCCTAACATCATTGAACCGCGCACGACAATTTCACTGCTCGATTTTCCAATTGCCGCACTTTTGGATTCTGGGGCCGCTATCTCGCTTATAGGGGATTTCGTTTTCGAACTCTGCAAATCAAAAAAGATAAGCCTCCGGGAGTGCGAAACCCGTTTGAAGCTAGCTTCTGGTACAGCGATGACAGCTGGAGGAGCCGTGAGGCTGCAGGTTTGGTTTAATGGAAAGAAGCGGCGTCAGCGATTTCTTTATATGCCAGGACTCGTGGTACCCGTGATCTTGGGCCGAAATTTCATTACAGGCGAAAACATGGCACTCGACTTTTCTGGCGGTGGATACCGGCTGGGACAACACCCGGAGCTGACTCCGTTTACCAAACGGGAGGACTGCGTCCGTAACCCGACCACTGCAGCCCACTTCACCAATGTGCCAGACGTCTTGCCTGCTGTCGTTCGAGCATCGTTGCGAAAGTGCCACGCAAGCAGCCAGCAGAAGCAGGAGCTGCAAGCCGTCCTGCAGTCTTTCTCACCGATGTTCACGGAAACACCTGGAAAGACTGACATTCTGTTGCACCGAATTGAAACCGCTGACGCGCCGCCTCGGAGGTGCAACCCTCGACCGATCAGCGTCCACAAAAGGGCACTCCTTGATACGGCGCTCGAGGAAATGATCGACACCGGTTCAGTACGTGAGACAAAAAGCCCCTGGGCGTTCCCCGTTGTTCTCGCTCCGAAAAAAGACGGAACAGCCAGACTCTGTGTGGATTACAGGCGGCTTAACGATGTGTCCGTACGAGACAGCTTCCCTTTCCCCAGCCTTTTTTTCGTGATGTACGCGCTCGGTCACGCGACCGCGTTTACAACGCTGGATTGCAGTCGCGGGTTTCTTCAGATCGAGATCCACCCATCAGACGTTCCAAAAACGACTTTCATCTACCACAGAGTGTTGTTCGAGTTCCCCCGACTGTCGTTTGGCTTGTCTAACTCTCCAGTCAGTTTTCAACGCCTGGTGGATGTTGTACTTGGGAACTCGAAGTACGAATTTGCCATGGCATACATGGATGACGTGGTTGTTTTTTCGAGAACTATTGAGGAGCATGTCAACCAGCTTTGCAATGTACTTGAGCGAATGCGCAATGCTGGGCTCACGATTCATCCCGGAAAGGTTCAGTTGGCCGCGCCCGTGATTAACCTCCTTAGATTCGTCGTGGATAACGGCACGCTCCGCCCCAACGAAGATAAGTTGCGCGCGCTAACGGAATACCCAAGTCCACATGACGTAAAGAGCCTACAAAGATACCTGGGAATGATTGCGTTCTACAGGGATTTCATTCCACACTGTTCCAAGATATTGCAACCGCTCAATCACCTTATAAAAAAGGCGTCAAGTGGTGTTGGGCCGAACAACAACAATGCGCATTCGCAGCCCTTTCAAAAGCCGCGACTGACAACGCTTCTTTACAGTTCCCAGACTTTAACAAGCCGTTCGTTCTGCAGACAGATGCAAGCGACTGTGGCCTGGGTGCTGTCTTGCTGCAGGAGTATGGCGGTGTGCTTCGGCCAGTTGCTTTCACGAGCCACACGCTAACTCCAGCCGAGCGCAACTACAGTGTCGCAGAACGTCGATGCCTCGCCATCATTCATGCTTTGAAGCGCTTCGATATGTACCTAGATGGCGCAACGTTCCAGATTCAATCTGATCACCTAGCGGGCTGCAGCCACCAGAACTCGAACTCAGACGATCTTTGCGGAACACTTGATAACGTCGTAAAATCTGTGTATGATGTGTTTGAAGATGAGTTTCTTGTAAAGAGAGGGCAATAGGCCGAAGATCATCCATAAAATAGTTAACGTCATCAATATTGGGTAAAAGACCACGACAGTTCCACTGCATAAAATGCAAATTCTTCATTTATCTAAAAAGGTGAAGTGTAAAATTAAAAGGAGAGAGGCATTGAAGAAATTGAGAGTATGAAATTAATGGTTATTTGGGAGGGACCACTGGTTTTTTCCCTTTAGACTTCAAAGTCTGCCACTCCATGTCACCCTCGTCGGATGCAGGAGTGGGTGACTCAGCGGTATCATCCATCGCCTCTATTTCTGGAGGCGAGCCTTTACCTGAAGGTTTTGGCTGGCTCGTTGTGCGGGGTGGCTTGCCCCGGCCACGACCAGCCGAAGAGGCACCGGAGGTGCTGGGCAGAGTGTCTTTCAACTCTGCCTTTTCCGGCCCCTTGGGTACTGGGGGAGCGGCAGGAGGGTTGTGCCGCTCTTTCGAAGAGGAGGTCCTCTCTGAGGAGGTCGGGCGGGAGTTTCGCCCCCTCTCCCCGGGAGAAGACCATGAAGTGCAGACAGGTGCGGCATTTGCCGGCCTGTCTAGAACCAGCGAACCAGCATGTGCACTCCCTCCATGAAGAGGGGGGCACTGCTGCCCCGGCTGGGGGGTTGGGGCCCTGAGGGCTGCCTCCAGAACCTCAGGTGAGACCTGGGTAGCCCTAGACTCCGAGCGTGGCACAAGACCCCTCCATGCCACGTCGGCGTACGATCCCTTCGACATGAAGGAATACCTTTTCTTCGCTTCGCTATAGCTGATATTTTCTTTGGCTTTAATGGCAATGATTTCCTTCTCTTGCTTCCATATGGGACAGCCACGATAGTAGGTAGGGTGTGGTCCATCGCAATTAACGCAGTGGGCCACATTCTCGCAATTGTCAGAGATGTGATCCTGACTGCCACACTTTGCACAAGTCGCCTTCCCACGACAGCTGCGTGTTCCGCGACCAAAACGCTGGCAACGGAAACACCGCTGGGGGTTGGGGACAAAAGGGCGGATGTGGCAGTTCAGGTATCCAGCCTTGATTGTTTGTGGCAGTGTGTGTCGTTCAAATGTAAGGATGACGTGTTTTGAAGGGATTTCTTCACCATCTTTTTTGAACATAATCCGTTTTGCGGCGACAACGCCGGCACCTTGGAGTCCCTCGAGGAGTTCTTCCTCACTAGTGTGAAGGAAGTCGTCTTCAGAGAGGACTCCACGGATGGTGTTCAGTGTGCGGTGAGGGCTCACCGACACTTTCACATCAAGTATGGTGTTCAGCTTGAGAA